TATAATAAATAATATGGTTTCCTTATGTTAACTTAAGAAAATCCCCTAACAAGAACCCAGTGTGCGGCAGGGCAGGCCGAGCTCGAAAATATGCCCGATCAACTTCGCAGAGATCGAGCTCCTCGGAATTGGAACATGCATGGGTTTAGGGTTTAGGGTTTAGGGTTTAGAGGAGCTTTCCGATGGAGCAAAGGAGACGGTTCAATTTTTGGGGTTGGCGCAGAGCGAATTGATATAACCTTTGAGTGCCTTTTTCTGATACCAAGGATGCAGTGGTGGCTGCGGTTCGAAATGACGGGCATGCCCTTCAGCATGCCTGTGAGGCCGAGAGCGGGAGAGTCTTTAAACAGTCCACGGCCGTGTCACTTGGAGGTTCATGGGTAGTTATAAGTGGGGTTATAAGTCCCCTAATTTGGTTTATAACTATAGTTACCCTACATATAACCCCACTTATAACTACCCATGAACCTCCGAGAAAGAAATGTGCAGAGGTCTACACTCCTGTCAGGACCTTCGCGCTGATCGCCATGTTGTCCTCCTGGCAGTGGAGGCATGTGGGAGATGGCTGGAGTTCTTCTGAAGCCAATGCTCGAACATCTTGTTTTAAATGGAGATTTAAGGCAAGAGCATGTACCAGGAGTCGCAGACCGACTTGCCTCATGGTGCTCTCACAAGTTTCTACTTTTCTGGGCTTAGAGACTCACAGAAGCAGAGACCCTTAGCCGAAGTAAAAATGCAAGCACCTAAACCCCTAAACCCTAAACCCTGATCAGGAGAACGGCCTGGCTCTGCGGCATGCTGCGCAGGCAGCCGCACAGCACGCCCCAAAGGTCGAGGGGATGAGGTTGATACTTGCTAATATAGGGGGCCTAGATCATTACCACTACCGTTTTGGGGTTCCTTAATATGATTATAGCCCGATATCGCACAAAAAAACCCCCAAAAAAAATCTGACTGTTACGGCCCCTCTATCGCGCTGATTCGTGGGACCCGAGGAGCTCTGCTGCAAGGAAAGGGTTGAGGGTTTAGGGTTCTCAGAAGCTGAACTACTACACTTTAAACTTTTTGGGATAATATGATCCCTTAAAGAACTGAAAGTGTACACTTTTTGTGCTTATGAACTCAACAGCTAAGGTTTTTGGGGTTGTGTGATGAGTTTACCAATCCCTAGGCGTAAAAGAACGGCTCGAGCCGGCACGACCGTTACGAAGGAAGCATCTCCATTCACAGACACCTGGGGCCTTTGAAGGCGTTGTGCAGCGACCCGGACATTGTCCTCGCCGCAATTCGTCAGAACGGCTTGGCCCTGCAGCCACCCGGCTGCGTTAACAAGGCTCCAGGGAGAAACTAGATAAGCTGACCGTGGGCCTGTCAAGATTTGCATGGCCAAACACGTGGGTCTTGCAAGGCTCCGGTGGATTGCCGGGGTGTTTGAATCATTTCGGAGTTCTTGACCAAGTAGTTCTGATTCTATGGTAGCCGCTTTGCCAGTGAGCGGGAGACACAGAGCACGGAACGGCTGCGGCGACCGTAATCAAGAACTAGCACGGCAAGCTCTTAGCATACACAGGCGGCATGCGACGGTTGATGCACAAAGAGGTGAAGCTGCGGATGTCTGAGCCATTTGCTGGGTCAAACCACGTTTTGAGACCAAATTGGGCCCTGAAGCTATGGAGGGGACTCTAAGCCGTGATGCATCTCGGAGCAACCCAGACCTTTGGGAGGATGAGTCTTTGCTTGATGGAGGGTTGGATTTCTGTGTGATTTACATGGTTTTATGGTGTGTTCCTTCTGAGGGTGTCAGCCAACATGAGCAGCTCAGGACGGAGCTTCCTCCGTGTACTCTGAGGCGGAAGTCATGGACGAGTCATTGTGCATTCGCAGCAGGGAAGATCCGTATGTCACCTACGATTCTTACACACCCGAGACCGATGACTACGACATGCTCACCGCACCTTTGCTTCCAGCAAAGCAATCCCAAGAGGAACTCGAAAGGAAGCAGAAGTCGGCACTTCGAAGCCGGATTGCCAGAGGTGCCTTAAGGACGAAATGAACCCTACCCTAAAAGGTTTTTAGGGTTCAGATACCATATAGGGATTCATAGTATAAGGGTATAGGGCCCCTAACTTTTAAGGGCCATTTCGTCCCTAAGGTGGGAGCTTGTCCGTCATGACGCACTACCGAAATGTCTTGGCCAAGATGGAGGGCACCGACGTCGAACCTCATGAAAGTGTTCCGTCCGTTTTCAAGATCGCCGAGATCAATCGTGTACGCCTTCCGTCAAGTGACAGTCAGTCCACAGCCTTCGCCAGCTGGGATACCGAATCCGACTGCTCCACGCCAGGATCGGGCACCATGCCACTGGATCATATTTGGGACTTGTGTGGCCTTGGGGACGATAGCTGTGTAAGAGGCGAACGGGTTAATAAAATGCCGTTAAAAATATCCTACTGAAGACACTAACAAATATACGGCTAATATACAGTACAAGACCATCACATACTTCCTTTGTGGAAACCCTCAACCCTGAACCCCTAAACCCCAAACCGGGAGCCAAGGGCGGGCGTCGCTTTCTCCGTGATGCCCTTCTTGACATCGGACTTGCTGAGCTGGAAGGGCACCTCATGGAGTACAACCTTCCCCTATTCCCCCTATGTGGGGTTTCAATTGCAGCACTTTGCTGGTCTCTCAACCTACCCGGCGGGCTGTAGACCCCCGATGGTTTCAATGAGCATGTGCGGCAAATCCTGCTGGCAAGGGGACTACCGCTGCTTTTAGAGCAGTTTGGAGCTTCTCCCTGATAACCGGCCAGGTACGCACAAGCGCCTTGCGCCCACAACACAGTGTGTTATGTTACAGAGGCGATGGGGCCGCTTGTTTGTGATTTTGACTCTTTCTCAGTTCCGTTCAGCGGGACCATTTAACGGGATTCAGGTCGCTGCGCTCGTGAAGCGACATGAGCATGCAGGATCATCAGCCTCAATGCTGGTAAATGTGAAGAGGGAAAGAGAGTTCAGGGAAAAGTAGCGTAGGACAAAGGGGAGAACAACAACGAAAGCTTTATTTCTGGGCTTATCGGAGCCGAATCGGAGCAGGTCTCATGCTTCATGGAGAGCAAGAAACCAAAGCAGAAAGAAGCAGAGAGAGAGAGAGAGGTCAGATGCAGATTCAACGACCAGATAAAGAATGGAGTGAATAGAGCAACCGACAAAGCGCGAAAGAGGCAGCAAACGGCACAGACAGGGAGAGAGAAACAGGCGCAGCCACAGAACAAATGACACAAGGAGGCCAGCAGAAAGCGCACACAGACGCAGAAGCACATGATGCAATCCTGCAATCCCTGCTGACGAAGACCGGGAATGCTTAGCTGTCCGGCGGGATTTCGACTTTTGCTTGAACCTTTGAAGCCATTGAAATCCTGTATTCCCCAGTTGCGCACCGTAGAGTGGATGAAGAGTACCTTAAACTACCAAACCCTACTTTTATGTAGGTTCTTAATATAAACCCCTAATATGGAATTTATAGGGACCCTACAAAAAAGTAGGTTTTGGTAGTTTAAGCCAGTCCTTGAAAAGTCTGGAATCCGAGCTTCGTGTCACAGAGGTCCAGAGCTTCTGTCGATCCCTGATAAAGTTGAGCACTGCTTGACGAGAGAAGCAGTGAGCACTGTTTCTCTGAGCTCTGAACCATTGGGGCAGACCAAGGTCGGACTTCATTACAAGCTGTTCATCGGAAGCTACCTAGCTAAAGTTCGCACGTGTTTCTGACCTAGTATGTGCCACAGCACGATCGCAGATAAACCGCAATAGCAGAGCTGCTGGCAGATGCGCAGCTTTAGTAGAGCCCGAAACCCCCAACCCTTAGAATGCGCGTTTGTCCTTGCAACCGTAAGAGCAGAAAAAAACCTGAAACCCCAAGCCGTAGCCTTGGCTTCGCGGCTCAGAGCGCCTGGCTACTGAACACGAGCGGCCAAAGGCCCTCACAGCTTCCATCCATGGGCGTCCTCGAAAGCTGTTCGGGTTCAGGGCTTCTGAGGGCCCTGGGGCGAGGGAGAGCATTACTCTATACAGGTGCTAGAGAGATGATGAGGAAGTTTGGGCCAACGTCCCAAAGCTTTCTAGGACGCTGTGGTCTCCTGTTCCGCTGCTGGATACCGGAGGTATGATCTCAAGGCTTCCATCGCGCCAGGAAAGGCATCAAAGCTGACCGCAGGGTCCTGCAAGTGTAGGAATTAGGAATCTGGGCGACGAGGCCCCGCTACAAAGGGTATAAGGATCGCAGCGTGGCAAGAGGAAGTTGTGGCGAGTACTAGTATCGTTAACACGGATGCCTGTACGCAGGATGTCGGCAGCGCTCCTAGTTACCATCGCCTTCCTGTACGCAAGCTCCACTCCCCCGAGCTGGGAGAGCGTAATTTATAGATCGATGGTTTCATTGGACATGTTTAGCTGAGCAGTTTGTCCAGTTTTCCCGCAAGCCAAGTGTGCCTGCTGTCGAGCTCAGCACTGGATGGACTTGGGTCCATCACGCAACCTCCAGCAGTTTAAACTTTCAATGACACGAATGCGAAGGAATGTTTTCATTTCCTATGAACCACAAGATGAAAAGTATCAGTAGCAGGCACCCTAAACCCCTAAACCACTAAACCCTAAACCCTAAACAAAGTATCAGGCATCGTAGGTTCGTCCTAGCCAGGCAGGAGCCAAAAAAAAAAGGTATCAGTAGCAGGCCGAAGAATTCTCGTTCTCCAAATCAGGGTCCCTTTTTGGGTCCCCCAAGATAGTACGGCACCCTTATCAAAAAGGACTCTAAAAGGGACCCCGACCCCAATCTAGAGAACTGCCCACAAGTTAGAAACCCTAAACCCTGAACCCTAAACCCTAAACCGTTTAGAATAAGATGTGCCACTGCTGTGGTGTTGAGCTCACGCAGGCGCCTTAGCGCTTCCCACTCTTTCGAGCCGGTGCTCAGCAGAGTTCGGCACACTGACACACGATCTCACAGACTTTAGGGCCTTCAGGGTGTTACCTGGGACCCCCAAAGAAGCTACCTTCTTTAGGGTTCCTTATTATATGTTCCCTACATAAGTCCTTAAAAAGGGTGGGTTCTTTGGGGTTAAGGTAGGGCTTAGGCTCGGTGAATCTTATGCTGTAATTCTACTGCAGGGACGATGTTGGGATGCTAGCACCACTTGCTCCGACCACCAGAGTAGGTACAATTTCTGCTTGCTGACCTCCTTCCCCCTTTCACAGGAAGTGATGTTATATAGAGTGCACTTCTGGGAGCTGTGGGACTCGTGTTCAGCCTGTGCCCCATACAGACGTTCACTTCCCGGATTTGCCTCGCAAGCGAAGGCGAGTCACGCGAGTTACGCGAGTTTCGACCCCTTGGCAAAGCCAAGGTGGTAATGACCTTCGGTTTGGGCGATATTGGTTTCAGGTTTCTCGCTTCGTGATATTTATGCTTTGCTGAATCCTGGATTGCAGTTTTTGTTGCTGTGCAGGTCGGTTCCATCACGTTGCAGCCTCCATTTGGGACAGCGTCTTGAGAGCTGCGCTGCAACTTCCGTTCAAGATAACCCTCTGTTCCCTAAACCCTAGACCCCCCTAGAGCCCTACACCCTAAACCCAGTTTGGTCAACGACATACCCGGGTCACGCTGCCCTGGTTTTGCTGGCAAAAACGACGGAACGTCGTTGGCTGCAGACTTGGGCTTCGTGCTGTTGCAGGGTTCTTCTGTTGGAGGGACGAGAAGGTTTAGGGTTTAGGGGTTTAGGGGTTTTAGGGTTTAGGGTTTAGGGGGAAGAACAGTGACCTCAACGAAATTCAACGGAATGCTGCGCGAGCCAGTGAGCCGGCTCCACCCATGGGCAACGACAACAACAACAGTAAAAGCAGTAGGTATAGTAATAGTAGTTCGCAATCGTCATGGGAAAATGGTATTAATAGCAGGAGTAATAGAAATAGTAATAGGTAACAGCGACAGTCGCCGTAGTAGTAATAGTAATAATGGAAACATTTGTCATCAGACTTTTGTGCCAGTACTATGAGTGCGATAGTCGACAACTCGGTTCTGACACCCACTTCGAGTTCGGGCAAGCTCGTTCAGGTTTAGGGGTTCCTTTAAGGGGTTCCTTTAAAGGGTACTATAAGGGTCCCTTTAAAGGGATCTATAAGGGTTCAGGGTTTAGGGGTTTAGGGTTTAGGGAACACGAGGTGTGTCTTGAGGGAATGAGAGATCTGACTGTTGGGCGAAGCTTAGGGAGTCTTTATCATATAATTACATAAATATAGAAGCCTGAAAAAATTGCCACTCTGATTCCTTAGGGTTCCTTCGTTTTAAACGGTATATTCAACCCCACTTCCCTATTCGAAAAATCAGTTCCTTTATAATGTGCATGCCTGGTGGCCGGGATATCGAAGTAGAAGAACCCTCACATGTGACCCCGTTCGTCAATGAACTGCAGCGGTGGCTAGGGGGCGCTGGGCTTGCTCAGAGAGCCCCCGAAAGCCATCGGCCGCTTCTCCGTCGATCCCGAGGAATACTCGGAGTCTCACCTAAAGGCCCCAGCTTCGACTTCGCGGGTCCTGGGCTGTGATGCACGGACCCTGAACTCAAAACTGTTAGGGTTTAGGGTTTAGGATGCTTCGTGCCTGGAAAACGAGCCCAGAACTTGCTGAAGCCAGTTGTGATTCAGATTAGACACGGCCGATGATCAAGAGCAAAAGTTCCGACAGCCGGAACGACCCGACTTCGGGGTTGGTCGAATAAATAAAAGCCCTAGAAGTCAAGACGGTAGGACCTCATCCCGAAGTATATAAGGTATCCCAGTAACTACCCCAGTACTGGTGTATCTCGTGTCCGACGGGGCGGTAAAGAGACAGCCGAAGCCTAAGCCCTGAAGCCCTAAACCTCTAAACCCTAAACCCCTAAGACCCCTAAAACCCCTAAACCCTAAACCCTTATAGATCCCTTTAAAGGGACCCTTATAGTACCCTTTAAAGGAACCCCTTAAAGGAACCCCTAAACCTGAACGAGCCGAGATCCCCAGGCACGCGGCAGCGGAGTTGCGGGGGACTTCGGCCCTGGCTCTCGAGGCTTTAGCTTCCAACCCTCAGGCAAAGCTGGGGGGGGGGGGGTTTTAGGGTTCCTTTCAAGGAATCTATAAGGGATCTATAAGGGTTTAGGGTTTTAAGGGTTTCGGGCTTAGGACCTCGGGTTTAGAGTTTGGGAGGGGGGTGGGGGGGGGGATCGGGCTTAGGGAGGCGTTTGTGCTTCGTGTCTTCGGGATCTCTGGCAGTCTGAATACTTCCGAAAGTATCTCCCTGGGCAGTGCCGGTAGAAATAGGGTTATATAAGTTATATATCATGATAAAACAAGATGAATAAACAGAAACTGACCAGTGTATATATATATGTATATATATATGTATACCTGTATATGTATATATATATATGTATATCTGTATATGTATATACAGATGTTTCGCTTGTCACCCTGGACCCTGCCTAGTGATTCCCTCAGCACATACATATCACATCTCTGCTTTTGGACGTCGAGAACCGGGCCTTGGATCTTGAGACCCGGACCCTTGCCCCAAGGCGGCGCGCTTTGTGTCCCGACAGCTCTTGGACGATCGAGACTTCGTGCCAGATGGCCGCAAACGGGTCTAGTATATATGGGGGGGGGGCTCTTTTCTCAGAATAATGATAATGCATCTTGGGTGGCCTACGGAGTGAGTCAGGCTGTTGATACTACTTGGACTTGGAGTGTTTTT